TAAAAAAAAAAAAAAAAAAAAAAAAATCAGCGCACCACCAATTTGCGCACGCGCACCGCAGAAGTGCACCGCAAGTATGCGACAATCTGTTTCGTTGGAGTTTAATATATTGTCAAAGAACTATTGACTAAGAGTGTAAGCACGTGAAGTAGAAGAAGAAATAAGATGAGTGAAGAAAAGAAAAATGAAAGGACAGACGGGCAAAGAGACAGACAAACCAGAATGACACAAAACAGTGTCCGTTTATTCTTTGTTTCACTGTATTCTTATTTCTTTCAGTGTTTTACAAAAAAAATTTACACTGAACAGGGATAAAAATAAAAAACAAAGACACATCGAAATCATTCAGTTTCTCAGTCTTCTAACGCCTTCTCCACCGTTCCTCTAACCTACAAGGCTCGCCACATTGATGAAGTTGAGCGCGAGCTGCCCCCATCACGTATGCCGTAACAGCCCACTTGCACGCTATGGGAAAGAGGCAGAGTGAAGGAAGAGGTGCTAAACACAACGAAGAGTTGAGCAGAAAAAAAAAAATAAAAAAAAATTGATACAAAGTCACACAAATATCCTCTTCCTTTTACTGCATTCTTCTTTCTTTCACAGTTTTGCAGTTTTGGTGAAGAGTCTACCACGTTCGGTTATCAGCGGACCTGCACTTCTTCATTTTTCATTCTCATTTTCACCCTTCGGACTTTTCCTTTGATGGTGTTAGGGTGCAGGGTACAAACAAAGTAAAATGACACAAACTTATGTTCTTCTTTTACTGCATTCTTCACTGTTTTGCAGTTTTAGTGAAGGGTTTCCCACCTTTGCACATTCTTGTACACTCTTTTCAGCGCACCTGCACATTTCTGTCAGGGTGCAAGGTACGTCTCAGTAAGACCCTCACGACAGATAGGACAACTGTCATAAGGATGCAGGCGATGGTAGCAGCCCTCCCGCTGATCTACAGGATGAAAACCATTCAGGTAAACAACTTCGTCACAGCAGGAGCCAGGATGGCTAGCATTAACCATACCTCTGAAGCATGCACGACAGAGGGCATGCCGGTTGCAGGCCATGACGATTATGGGGCATTCACCATCACAGTTAAGTGCACATTCGCTATAGCGCCCGCAGGCACAGATGAGACATACTGCATCTGGATGTAGAGGATGTTCACAATCCGGATACAGGTGGCATCCCTGCCGACAGTGGGGACGAAAAATTATACGGTTGTAGTGATGTCAACAAAGTCGATGCTTATTCGGCTGAGGAAAGTGAGAGTATCAAAGAACAAACCCTGGATACTCTTCAGACCGGACCTCAGCATCTCTGAGCTAGAGTTCGATCCAAAGGAGTGGGTTTGGAAACAGGACAAAACAGGAAGAACGAGAAGGATTGATGAATACGACGTCAAATTCGGTTATGAGTTGGGCCTACAAACCACAGACCCGGATCCCAGACTCAAAGACAAATGGAGGGAAATTCTGAGCTTAGACCCTTCGGTCCCCGTGTCCATCCCGTGGTCGAAGTTCCTATCCATTAGACCAGTTAGGATCCGAAGTATGCAATGGCTCATAGCCCACGCCGCTCTGCCAACTAACCCATGGCTCCACAAGAGGAGGAAGCACACAGACCCCAACAGCACCGACCTATGCAAACTCTGCTCTGATAACATCCCCGACAACATACCCCACTGCCTACTGTACTGCTCGGAAGCAAAGTGGAGCTGGAACAAAGTGTGCAACCTGTGGCACAGCCTCTTCTCGTCACCCCCCCCGCCCACGACCCCCCTCAACATCTTGCTCTTATCTAACAACACTAACAACCTTAAAGGAGGAAAGGAGGTCTGGTACCATCTTCTCAGAAAGTTGGCTCTGTGGGTGATTTGGAAGAGGAGATGCACCAAGACAATCGAAGAAACTGAGGTCCCAAGAGAAGAAATGTGGGCTCTACTACTGAAAATGGCGGAAACAGAGATTCGAGTCAGATGGAGGGATGTGTCTGTGAGCACGAAAAGCAGACCAGAAAGGATAGCCGCAAGGAGACGAGTTTTTACAAGAGACTGGCTTTTACAAGGGAAGATCGCCACTGTGGTGGACAATAGATTGATTTGGAAGAAGTGGTACACCACAGGGACAGGGACGTAGAGGAAAACGAACTGAGAGTGTAATCTCAACAGCAAAGATATCTCTCCTCTTTTCTTGGTAAATACGGAATATCTGGCAGAGACATAGGAGACTCTGAGAGGAAAAGGGGTAGGGCAAGCTGACAGTCAATCCTCCTTACAAAGGAGCAATCAATGCCGGGCAGGGGTCCTTCGGCCAGACGGAAGGAAGCGTGAGGGTGTTCACCATGTACTCCAGTTTTTCGACTTGCCGGTGGAAAGGAACCGGACTGACGCTCCCCAGAATGGATAAGGAGCCAGGACCATAAGGACCTGTTCAATTAAAAAAAAAAAAAAAAAAAAAAAGAAAGAAAACGAAGTCGATGCTTTCCACAACCAAGTGTAACTGTGTCAGTGATCTCACAAAGAAGAGGTCACAAGGTGTTCGTGCAGCATGTGGGGGAATGAAGACTAAAGCAGGCACAGTGACAGACATGGAGGTAGGCACGGAGACAGACACAAAAACAGGCATGGAGACAGGTGCGGAGGCAGGCACAGAGACAGGTGCAGAGGCGGGGACGGAAGTACACGAGGTACCCATAGGGTCAGTAATCTGGAAGGAGACAGACACAGAAACAGGCACAGAGACAGGTACGGAGGCAGGCACAAAGATAGGCCTAGAGGCGGGCATGGACGTACACGAGGTACCCATAGGGTCAATGACCTGGAACAGTTGCAGGTTAGGGTAATTACGCACGAGATCACAGATGGCAGTAATAGTTTGCACCATAGCACCGCCATTCCATAATTCCCAAGAACCAGAGGCACGGACAAGAGCGGTGTAGTGGCCAGGAGCATGTAGAATATAGGCACAAACGTGCGAACAGTGGTCCGGGTCGCCACCCAAAGGGGCAAGCTGCATATCAAGCCGGCGCCTTATCAAAGCAGTCTCCAAAACAGAGACATTGAATCCCCCATGTGGAGTGTAATTACTATCTTGCGGGGGATGCAAAGTCGGGTTATCGC